CAATGATGGTTTCTCTTTGTCCAGTATTCGAACTGAATATCTGCCAGCACGATTTTCTTTCGGAGGAGCTCATTCTTCAGAATAAGATTGTCGCGCTCTATTCTGAGTTCTTCCTTGTATGGGGCTCTTCCTTGGGAATTGTGTTCCTTCTGCAGACTTTTTCCATGCGCAGGTGTTTCCTGCTCAAAGCTTCCATGCGCATTTTCCGAGGCTGGTGGCTGGTCGCGTAGTGCTCTGAACTACGAGTACACAATAGCAAGTATTCAAACATAAAGGAGAAGTAATAGAAACCCCACCCCTACAACTGTCCGCTGCCCAACTTCAAGGCCTCCCTTCATGCCTGCTATTCTGGGTTTTTGGCGTATTGCCTCAAATGCACGCTTTTGGGGTGCCGTTAGTCGCGGGAGTCTTCCCATCCTTCCACCTCCTGTCTTGTTCCTCTCAGTCATTTTAAATACTGTGCTTATTCACAGATCAAAGTTCTCAATAGATTCTGCACCTACAAGGACATTGCCATATCGTTTTAACAGTTTGATTTCATCCTTGATTTTCTGATCGATTTGCTTCTCTGTGCGCACACCGACTCCCAGCGCGTTCACCTCCTCAGTAAGCCGCGCTATGAAGCGCTTTTTAGCCTAAAAAAGCAGCCCAAGTTCATAGTTTAGGTATTCCCTCTAAAGACACCTACCGGGACCCCTTCCCTTGACCCGCCGGTCATAGTGTGATGATATATTTCGTAACTTTCCACGTAACGGTCCAGAATTAATTCCGTTTCTGCCTCTGTGAAACAAATGGGACCCTGGAAAGGATGGCAGTTGCTAGAGAAGACCAACAAGAATTCCTTCAACCTACATTTTGCGACCTGCCCTCATCAAACTCGTCTTTGATAACCAAGTCGTCTTGTTCGTATGGGTCCACATCCCACACTTCATCGTAGGATTGATCCATTGAGCTATGACGAAAAAATATTTTCTTGGTTTTATTTATTTCTTAATTACTTCGGGCTCAATTCAACGACAGTGCATGTAAACCGAGCCTAATTTGAAAACGAAAAGAAAGAAAGAATTATCTAGCATAAACAAATGTATTCAGAAGTAAGAACTAAAAATAGGAACTACTGGGGGAAAACTAATGAACCAATGAGTCCTCAAAAATAGGATGAGATTGATAGGAACGACCTACCTCGCGATAAGAAGACAAAGCTGACAAATGGACAAAGTGTCGGCAATCCAACGGAACTCTAGAAAAAATTGGTGAAACTCATCCCAAGAGGTAAAAAAAGAGTAGTGACCTACCTCGCAATAAAGAGATGAGAACTAGGAATCAAATAAAGAAGTGAACAGATTAATACCAGTATGATAACCTCAGTTCAAAGAAAGACCATCAGAGATAGCTGAAAAAGTACTGACCGAAAGAAGTGTAAAAAAGACACCTAGGCCCCACACGACTTACCTCGCAGTACCAGTGAAAACAAGGAGTTTACCCGAAAAATGAAAGACAATATAAGAACAGCAAATCGGAACTAGTTTAGACCTCTGAAACCAAAGACCACAACTTAACAAAGCACCTACGTTCAAGTTGGAAGACTCTTCTAGTGAAGAAGTGAGAAGGTAGACAATAAGACTTACCTCGCAATGCGATGATAACGAGTCATCAAGCAATAATCCACGAGATCCAAACAATATGAAAGCACAAATCAAGTTTGGCTCGATGGACCGCTGGAAACAATCGCTGGACAACGGTTAAAAAAAGGCATCGTGGCGGTAGTTCAGCGCGAAGCAGTTTGAAAAACCAGCGCGAAGCAGTTTGAAAAAC